GGTGGGGAGAGTGGTGTGGACAGAGTGGGGAGCGTGCACAGGTGGGGAGTGTGGTGTGGACGGAGAAGAGAGCGTGCACAGGTGGAGAGTGTGGTGTGGATGTGAGTGAGGTGTGTGCACAGGTAGAGTGGTGTGGATGGAGAGGGGAAGGTGCACAGTCTGTTGTTCCTGCTGGTGCACAGGGAAGGCTTGTGTTCTCTCTGGCACCAAGCATGGCTGGCAGTGAGAATTCCTTGCCAGTTGAGACACTGCCCCTGCCTTTCTCGTTTCTGATTCTCCTAGCCTCACCTGGGCAGGGGTCCTCTGACCGTCCTCCCCTCGCTGGAGGGAGACGATGTCCAAGTAGAGATTGTGGAATAGCCAGCCAGGGTTCCCGACTCTCACATTGCCTCTGCTGGCTGGATGCCGTGCGCGCTCTATGGTTCTGCAGCCCTTAACCTGCCCTCTCTGCCCGCAGATCCAGCCCTTCTTCAGCAGCTGCCTCAACGACTGCTTCAGACACTCTGTGACTGTTTCCTGCCCAGAAATGCCAGACACTCCAGGTAGGAGACATGCCGCTGTCCAGGGCCACACTGGGAGTGCAGGTGGCTGAGGGCCACCAGCCTGGGCTGAGGCCTGACCTGGGTCTCGGGGGTGGTTTTGGGGGAGAGTTTAGTTTAACTTAGAGCTCTTCAGGCCTGAAGTGTGCAGTGGACTTCAGAGTGTCACTCCCTGGGGTTGGGCTCCTGGCTGCCTTTCGTTAGTGATGCATCCTCAGGCAAAATCCTTGACCTTTCTGACCCTCCACTTTCTTGACTGGAAAATGGGTTGATTTTTAGCCTATAGGCATAGTTCTGCGCCATGCACAGAGCACGAGGCTCCAACATGCTGTCCATGTTTGATCTTCCCTCGTTGTGAGTGAGTCATCATACTGTGAAGTAGAGGATTCCCCCACCCCAAACCCCAGGTTCATGGATGAGGAAACTGAGGCACAACGATATTGAATAACTTGTCCAAGATCACACCCCAGGGACACTGTTCGGAAGTCGCATGTCCTAACACATGGGAGGCTGCGGCCACAGGCTCACAAGAAGGCTGAGACATGGGGCCAGGCTGGAAGGAGACCCAGCCTGCCAAGGAGGAGGCAAGGCATCTCTCCTTAGACCAGCAGCTCAAGTCCTTGTCTCTTGTAGGTGGCTTCATTAAGTTCAGCCTGGATCTAAAGTGCCTGGTGCGGGGCCAAGGTCATGAAGGCCCTTAAGGGATGTCAGTGGTGGTTTTTGTGATGACTGGGAAGGGTTAAGAATACTCTTTCCCTTTGTTCTCATTGCAGAACCAATTGCGGGTAAGCTCCCATCTCTGCAGCGCTGCAGCCCTCAGGGGCCATTCCCCAGGGGCCACGTGAGAGTGAGAAGTCCGTGCCTGACCCAGGCAGACTAGCCTGAAGGAGGCCAGCTGGGGTGGGGTTGGGGGTGCGGGGGTGAGACCATGGTTTGTCAGCCGGGGGGTCGGGGGGTGAGACCACAGTTTGTCAGCCCCGGGGTGGGTGACACCATGGTTTCTCAGCCCGGGGGTGGGGGGGTGGGCGCGAGGGCGCGGGGTGGTGGACCATGGTTTGTCGTAGCCAGAGAGGACAGAGCCTGAGGCTGGGGATAGGGGCTGGGGCCCTCGGCCGGCAGGGCAGGCCTGGGCAGCACTCACACTGTTGTGCTCACCACAGACTACATGCCCCTGTGGGTGTACTGGTTCATCACGGGCGTCTCTATCCTGCTGGTGGGCTCCGTCATCCTGCTGATCGTCTGCATGACCTGGAGGCTACCAGGTAAGGGCTGGGGTCTGGCTGTCCCTAGCACTGCCACTCACTAGCAGGGCAAATCGCTTTATTCTCTGAGCCTCAGGTTCTCGCTTGGAAAAGGGAAATCACAGTGATACCCATGTCACTGTGCTGCTGAGTGAAATAAGGCACATAAATTCTTAGCACAGAACCTGGCATGTGCTGTTTGCACAGTGTCCATTAGCTACCATTATATTTGTTGTTATTAAATGAAATATTATTAAAATCAACAGGTTGGAAGGAGCCAGAGTGAAGTTTTTTTGTGTCAGGAATTACCAGCCAGGCAGGCGGAGCAGCCTGAACAACCCCATCCTGCAGCCCCCAAATGTGTACATCTGGGGTCAGGGAGAAGAGCGAGGGCCAGCGTCGGGTGATAGAGAAGGCCCCGGCTCCCCTGAGCCATCGGGGTAGACCCCAGCCCCACCTCGTTAGCCTTGTAGTCACGGGCCAGTTACTTAACACACCATGGAGTCACTTTTCTGTAAAATGTGCTGATATTGCTTCCCTGTCAGGGCTGTGATGAAGGTTAAATGAGTATCTGAGGAAGGTGCTTGCTGGGGGGGGATTAGTACATACCAGTCTCTCCTGCCTGCAGCCCTCTGCTGGCATGAGAGGGCCTTTGGGGGTTCTGATAACATCTGACAGCTTCTCGGCTGGTGCTCTAGGCTGTGCAGCTCCCTAATGCTGTGGGGGTGCTTTTCATTTCCTTTCTGCTGTTGCTTCTGTTTCCCAAAGTGCGCCACATCCCGGGGTGAAGGCAAGGAGGAGCCTCGCTGGTTATTTCACTGTCTTTGATGGGTCTAGGGAAGAGCCGAAAGGGCTAGGATTGAGATTAAGGTTCTAAGTCACTTGCTCAGTCTCGTGGGTCTTGATCATCCCAGCTGTCACCAAGGAGTTAACTCCCACAGAGCAGTTTTTTCATCACATCTCTGAGGGGAACAATTGCTTAAGTATGTGGGTTCCCCTTCCTCACCCCAAAAATACCAGGAGGAAATGTTGAAAGCGGCCCAGTGGGGCGGCTTCTGGAAAGAAGTGTGGTAAGATGCATGCCTTCTGCAGGACGCTTCTGGGGAAGAGCTTTCCCTCAGGTGGAGTCAGTTTGGGGTGGCCAAATTTCAGGGACACGGGGCAGACCAAGACCATAATGAGGAGCCAGGATGGACCCTCCAGCACCGTTCTGGGGGTCCCAGCTGGGTCAGTGCTATTAAATAACTATGACCCCAACTGATTATGTGCAACGTGCCAGGACTTTACATATGCACGCTCATTTAATCCCCGTTACACGAGAGCAAACACAGACCCACTGCACAGAGGAAGAAGCTGCATTTCAGAGGCACCAGTAAATGCTCCAGTCATGTGCTTGTAGTCAGCGACCCAGGATTCACGGCTGTGCGGGCACCTAGTACAGCCTTCCGGCTCAGGGCTGCCCCCTACCCTTCACCCTTTGTCAAGGTGAGGCACACGCCCTGTGAGCTGGTTTCTGTTTCTCTTCCCAGAGAACCACTCCAGTGTCTTTCTTTTCCTTTCCAGGGCCTGCAAGCGAAAAACACAGTAATGACACCAAACACACGGGTCAGTATTTCCTGGTTTGTGTGTTTGCTTGTTTTTAAAGCAGTGGAGGGTTCTCCTGGGATAAGTGGGTGGGCTGCCTCCTGTCTTCTAAATCCCAAGCCCCTTCAGGAGACCCTACCTTAGGACCCCCCCTTCCAGGACCCCACTCAGAAGGGCCCCTAATAACAAGGCCTGGGTGCCATTTATTGATTCAGACGAGGAAAGGTAAGTGCACAGTATTTTGTGAAAAGAGGTCCTCCCTGGAGCAGACCAATAGGGCTGGCCGCTCTTTTTCTTTTTTTAATTAAAGCACAGGCTAAAGACCAGATAGGAACGTGAGAGATTATTTTTCTCACAAGGCAGCAGACTGATTTTCTTCAGGCAGCCAAAGGTGGAATACTAAATCTGCATTTTTCCAGCAGGCTTCCGTGGCTTTCTCAGGCTAGGGAGAGAGCCAGGCTGTGTCCTGGTCCCCGCCCCTCCGGGGCTGGCAGGCACACAGCCGCCCTGGACCCTGGGGTAGGGTCAGCACGTGTGGTCTTGTTTCCTTAGATGGCCTGCCTGCCGCTGACCTGACGCCCCCACCGCTGAAGCCCAGGAAGGTCTGGATCATCTACTCAGCCGACCACCCCCTCTACGTGGACGTGGTCCTGAAATTCGCCCAGTTCCTGCTCACTGCCTGCGGCACAGAAGTGGCCCTGGACCTGCTGGAGGAGCAGGCCATCTCGGAGGTGGGAGTCATGACCTGGGTGGGCCGCCAGAAGCAGGAGATGGTGGAGAGCAACTCCAAGATCATCATCCTGTGCTCCCGCGGCACGCGCGCCAAGTGGCAGGCGCTCCTGGGCCGGGGGGCACCTGTGCGGCTGCGCTGCGACCACGGGAAGCCCGCGGGGGACCTGTTCACGGCAGCCATGAACATGATCCTCCCAGACTTCAAGAGGCCAGCCTGCTTCGGCACCTACGTGGTCTGCTACTTCCGCGAGGTCAGCAGCGAGGGCGATGTTCCCGACCTGTTCGGTGCGGCGCCGCGGTACGCACTCATGGACAGGTTCGAGGAGGTGTACTTCCGCATCCAGGACCTGGAGATGTTCCAGCCAGGCCGCATGCACCGCGTCGGGGAACTGTCGGGGGACAACTACCTGCGCAGCCCGGGCGGCAGGCAGCTCCGCGCCGCCCTGGACAGGTTCCGGGACTGGCAGGCCCGCTGCCCCGACTGGTTCGAGCGCGAGAGCCTCTGCCCGGCCGAAGACCAGGACGCCCCACCCCTGGACGAAGACGTGTTCGAGGAGCCGCTGCTGCCTTCGGGAACCGGCATCGTGAAGCAGGCGCCCCTGGTCCGTGAACCGGGGTCCCAGGACTGCCTGGCGATAGACCTCCTGGTCGGGGAGGAAGGAGGAGCAGTGGTGAAGCTGGAGCCTCACCTGCAGCTCGGGGGGCAGCCGGCGACGCAGCCCCTCCACACCCTGGTGCTCCCTGCAGAGGAGGGCACCCCGGCCGCGGTGGAGCCCGGGCCCCTGGCTGACGGTGCTGCTGGCCGGCTGGCGCTGGCTGGGGAGGATGAGGCGTGCCCGCTGCTGGGTGGCCTGGGCGCTGGGCGAAATAGCGTCCTCTTCCTCCCTGTGGACCTTGAGGACTCACCCCTTGGCAGCACCCCCATGGCGTCTCCTGACCTCCTTCCAGAGGACGTGAGGGAGCAGCTGGAAGGCTTGATGCTCTCGCTCTTCCAGCAGAGTCTGAGCTGTCAGGAGGCGCAGGGAGGCTGCGGGAGACCCGCCATGGTCCTCAAAGACGCGCACACACCCTGCGAGGAGGAGCAGCGGCAGTCGGTACAGTCTGACCAGGGCTACATCTCCAGGAGTTCCCCGCAGCCCCCAGACGGACTCACGGAAACGGAGGAGGATGAGCAGGACCCAGGGAAGCCCGCCTCGCCACTCTCTCCGGAAGACCTGGAGAGCCTGAGGAGCCTCCAACGGCAGCTGCTCTTCCGCCAGCTGCAGGAGAACTCGGGCTGGGACACGGTGGGGTCGGAGTCAGAGAGGCCCAGGGCCTGAGGGCGGCTCTCCAGGGACCGCCCAGATCCCAGCCTTGAAGGAGTGTGTGCACGTGGGTACACACGTGTTGGTCTGTGTGTACATGTCTGCATGTGTATTTGTTCGCGTGTGAAGTGGAGGCTTTAAAATGGAGGCGTCTGGATTTTCACCCCGGCACCCCGCCGAACTTTCTTCATGCAGCCATCTGGTTATTTTCCATCCCAGGGGAATCCACACGGCCTACTCCAAGGAGCTGATGGTAGAGTGCCCTTGATCACCATCATTCATTCATCAGGCATTTATTGTGCACCTGATATGTGCCAGGCATTTGAGATACCATGTGACATGGCCCCAGCCACCAAGGAGCTTAACCTCTAGTGCTAAGGACACTAACAAACAGAATGGGCCAGCACAGTGACTCAAGCCAGTAATCCCGGTACTTTGGGCGGCCAAGGTAGGCTGATCACTTGAGGTCAGAAGTTCGAGACCAGCCTGGCCAAAATGGTGAAACCCCATCTCTACTAAAAATACAAAAATTAATTGGGCGTGGTTACACATGCCTGTAGTCCCAGCTACGTGAGAGGCTGAGGCAGGAGAATTGCTTGAACCTGGGAGGCGGACGTTGCAGTGAGCCAAGATTGTGCCACTGCACTCCAGCCTGGGCAACAGAGGGATACTCGGTCTCAAAAAAAAAACCTGGATGGTCACATGAGATGTAAAAGCTGAATGGGCCAGGTGCGGTGGCTCACGCTTGTAATCCCAGCACTTTGGGAGGCCTAGGCAGGTGGATTGCTTGAGCTCAGGATTTCAAGACCAGCCTGGGCAACATAGTGAGACCTCGTCTCTACCTAATTTTTTTTTTAATTCGCCAGTCATGGTGGCACATGTCTGTAGTCCTAGCTACTTGGGAGGCTGATGCAAGTGATCACTTACTTGAGCCCTCCTAGGAGGTGGAGACTGCAGTAAGCTATAATGGTACCATCGTCCAGCCTGGTCAACAGAGTGAGACCTTGTCTCAAACAAATAATAAAAAAATAGAAAGGTTGAGTGGAAGTCTGCCCAGAGCCATGAGCATGCACAGGAGAGGCACCAGGCCAGGGGGAGGTCCCGGAGGAGACACCTAAGCTGAAGGAAGCAGCCTGTGGCGAGTGCTGGGAGAAAGTGGAGTGAGCATGTCAGGGAGCTGCTGGTGGAGCCTGGACTGGGAAGAGGGGCGCAGCCAGAGAGACCCCACGGCCTGGGCCCCTTTTGTCTGATGAGCTGTCCCTCTGCATGGCAAGATGCTGAGGGCCAAACACAGCTGGATGTCACCTGAGCTCATTTATAGGCAGAGAGAAATGTGGAGGTGAAACAAAAATCGTCCTGCAGGAAGGTGAGTTTGAACCTGCACCCGCATCCCAGCCGGCTGTCAGTGGGGAGCCGTCGGCCGTCAGTGGGGAGCTGTTAGGGTGCAGGATTCTTCAGAGCAGCTGGGTGGGAGCTCCCCTGAGCTTGGGAAGCCGTGGGGTGCAAGGGCAAGGAAATGAGGGGTGGGGGTAGCAGTGAAGACCTGGGCAGACCTTGTGTGTGGAGAGGAAGGGGTGCTGCTGTGACTTCAAGGTCTGAGGTCCAAAAGCAGCATTTGATGAGACACTCTGAAGCCAGTGTTTGAAGAATCTGTTCCTGAGCTACCTCCTAGGGGTAGGCTGGAGGGTTCTGGCTTCAGGGTCCTGAAGAACACATTGAGGTGCTGTCAGACGCTGGAATAGAGTGCCCTTTATTCCTGCACCTTAGTGCTTAACTGTATTTCCAAGCTCCAGTGAGGAGGAGAGGATTTGGAACTGTGACAGGAGAGCAAATAGGACAGTTTGTGTGTGTATGTGTGTGTGTACACACATACATGTAACTGAAAGATTACCAGTAAAAGAATGCATAAATTGTTAATCTGGTAAGAGTTTCTAGTAGCTGTTTTGAGTCACATATTGTAGGTCAAGAAGTTCCTAGCTGCAGAATTTTTTTCTTGCAGTTGGAGTTTGCCTAGTGTCAGCAGGGCCACCAAGGTCTGTGTCCCAGACAGTGCATGGCCCATACTCCACCCAACAGCAGCAAAGGACCAAACCAGGGAGAACAGGAGCTGAGGCCTCCCAGCCACCGGCCTTTTGGGCTCCGTCCCTCCTCCAGTAGTCCTGGACAGCTACCAGGCTTTCTGTGACCTTTCCAGTAAATACCTGTTCAAACTCCAGAGTACAGGCTACCACGGTGCACTCTTCCCTGGCTAGAACACGTTCCCATTTTCTCCCATTCCTCACAAGCCTTGAATTCTGCTGGCCTTTGAGCCCATGCCAACAAATGTCCCTGATGGGCATTGCCCACTATCTCCGGGGGAGCTTCCCTTGTTCTCTTAACAGCTTTGTTGGAATACAGCTCACGTCTCATACAACCCACAATTGACCGTGCACAGTTCAATGCGTTTAGTGTAGTTACAGTTCAGCAACCATCAGCACAATCTTAGCACAGTTTATTACCCCCAAAAGAAATCCAGCCCCCCTTAGTCCCCACCACACCCTCCCATCCCTAGGCACCCCTCGGCTACTTTGATCCCTGTAGACTTGCCTCTTCTGGACGTGACATGGAAAGGAGCCATAAATTCTCCAGGGCACCTCCATTTCTTCTTCTTTTTTTTTTTTTTAAGATGGGGTTTCACCATGTTGGTCAGGCTGGTCTTGAACTCCTGACCTCAGGTGATCCACCCGCCTTGGCCTCCAAAGTGCTTGGATTACAGGTGTGAGCCACCATGCCTAGCCACCTCCATTTCTTCTTAGTGTCAATCCGTTTCTCCTCACGTTCCCTCCCCATTCCCTGTGCCCAGTCTCACACCAGTCCTTGCTTATCCTAAATGCTAGGAATTCCATAACTCTGAGTATGGTGTCCGCTGTCAGCCTAATGCCAAGAGCTTCAAGAGTGTGTATGAAGCCATGCCTTTATTTTTGTATTATTCTGAACCATGGCTAATAAATTCTGCTTCACCCGGAAATGTCTAAGAACAGATGCCCCCCATGCTGTGCCCCTCCCACCTCTTCAGCCCCTCTCCGAAGCAGAGCGTACATAGGTGGTCGGCTGGGAAGGAAGCAGCAGTCAGTGTGTGCCCAAAACCTGCAGCGGAGCATCTAACCGTGACTGTCCAGGGCGATTGTGCACGCGGCCACCAAGCAAGCTCCCAGCTCCCCCAGTTTCGTGACTTTTCCTGCCTACTATCTTGAGCCCGGTTTTGTTTGTTTTGTTTCTTTAAATTAATTACTTGGATTCAAAACCAGTTTTTCTTTTCGGCATAGGAAGGTTCTTGAAGCTATTGAGGGTCTAAAGAGGGTTGTGTTCAGTCCCTGGAACATCTGAGCTGGGTCTCTGAATGCAAGGGTGTGGTGGAGTTACTTCCTTCATGCTTTTATTGTGTCTTGGTTTTTTGTTTGTTTTTAAGTCGTGATCTCTCTCTGTCCGAGGCTCAAGCAATCCATCCACCTCAGCCTGCCCAGTAGCTGGAACTACAGGTGTGTACCACCGTGCCCAGCTAATTTGCGTGTGTGTATTTTTTGTAGAATTGGAGTTATGCCATGTTGTCCAGACTAGTCACAAACTCCTGGGCTCAAGCCGTCTGCCCACCTCGGCCTCCCAAAGTGCTGGGATTACAGGCATGAGCCCACCATGCCTGGCCTTTACTGTTTATCTTTGAAAATTAAATAGGGCTTAAGAGAGAAGAAGTGCTTACAATGCAGTGGGCAGTTTTAATTCTATAGCCTTTGGGCTCTGCGGTTGGTGCTCTCCTTCCTGAATAAACGAGGGATGTGCAGGGCCCTCTTCCGCCTTAGCGCCCTGCCACAGCTGGGACTCCAGCAAGACCGGGGGCACTTGAGGGCAGACTGAGATGGACATTGCCACTCAACATCCAGGCCCTCGTCCCCCAAGTCAGGTGTGTCCGACACAGGGTCCTCACACAGAAGAAGCAGCATGGTTGGGGACTGGCCAGCTGCTCATCCACCCTAGGTGGCTTGCCTATCTGTAAAGTGGGCGGGGCAGGAGTTCTCGCCTCGTGGGGTCGTGGGAGGCCTGCAGTGTCCCTGAGTGGCACCAGCCTGCTTCTGGGGAGAGCAGTTTGTGCCCCCGAGGCACCATTGAGCCTCTTTCCCTGCTGTTAGGTATGGCTCTCTCCCTCCTGTGTTTGCTTTCAGACTCTAAAAGTAATGTGTTCCCATACTGGGCATCTCTAAGGAGCTCAGGAAGTGTCTGGCTGAGTGAGCAATGTGCATTGTGGAAAAACGGCCACAATATGGATTCCATGGGTTATAGTTTATAGAAGACTCTGAAGAAAAACAACTACCCTTCAACCCGTGGTGTGAGCTGTCAAGGTTAATTCTGTGCCCGAACTCGTTCCCCGCCGAGCCTCCCTCACTCTGAAATGGCCTCCGGTCCATCTTGCCCTCTGCCTCTGCATGGCTCTCCACGCCCCACTGCCTCTGCCAGATCCTAGCACTGTGAGAGGAACACGCAGTCCCCTGTCTCCTGGTTTCAAGGGTGCCAGGGAGCCTGGCCCAGCCCACCTCCCCTTGGAGTCCTTCCGGGGAGGAATAGCCCCTTAGGTCATTGAGTGTAGGATGAGTTTGCTCACCGGATCCTTCCTCTCTGATGAGACAGGAAGAAGGTACAGAGATGGGTAGCAGGAGGAGAGGAAGCGGAAAGGGGGATGCAGGTGACTGGCCCCTGCGCTTGCCTGCTCCCTGGCATGCATGTCCCACTGGCAGCCTCTGCCCACCAGTTCCATGGGATCTTCACAGAAGGTGAAACCAGTCCCGGCTTTTTTGCTAGAATGGCTGAGCTTTCATGGACAGGAAGCTGGACCCAAGCAGCTGCCCATCACTGCAGGAGCGGGCAGATGTGGGAGTGCACACTGGCTCCTCCCGACCGCAGCGCCACATTGCTCAAGCTACCTCCTCTCCAGGGCCTCCGGAAAACAGAAAGCAGCCCTGAAGGCGGCTGTAAGGAGGGACGGGGCTGATGTCAACCACGGGCTGTGTTCTGTTCTTCCTTAGGGCCACTGCTCGGGCAGACACCACAAGGCCCAGGTGTGAGGTGGGCCTTCCATACACGTGAACAAATCACTCTGCGCCCCTTCTCCACCTGTCACAAATCGACTTCTGATATGCCTGGCAAACCAAAATCGGTCCGGGCCGGCTTGCTTCCCTAGAAAACGTTTCTAAATATCCATGACATGCTTGGTCAAAGCAATCACCTTATTTTACATCTGCTCCAGGGAGAAATGAAGACACGTTCCTATGTTGTTCTGTAATGATTTTGTATGTACATTCTGTTCCTTGTTGCAGTTACACATGTCGTAGGGGAAAGGACCATTTCCCATGTGTCTTCTGTGGTTGCTTCTGTTTTATAAATAATGAAGTTCCAGGAGGCCAGACGATGGGCAAAGCCACAGCTCATGAGAGGCAGAGAGAGCTCAGGCTCCCAGGAGCATCTACTCAGATCTGGCCTCGCGGGCTCTCCTGAGTCAAACCCCTGCATCGCCTTTGGCACAGCCAGAAGCAGCAAGCTAGGGTCACAAAACAGAGAGGGCTGTATAATACTGGCTGCCTGTGTACTAAGAAAACCACTATATGGGCTGGGCACAGTGGTTCACGCCTGTAATCCTAGCACTTTGGGAGGCCGAGGTGGGTGGATCACCTGAGGTCAGTTCAAGACCAGCCTGGCCATCATGGTGAAACCCCATCTTTAAAAAAGAAAGAAAGAGCCGGGCGCGGTGGCTCAAGCCTGTAATCCCAGCACTTTGGGAGGCCGAGGCGGGTGNGCTTTGGAACTGGGTAATGGGTAGAGGCTGGAAGAGTTCTGAGGAGTACGCTAGAAAGGTGGACATTAAGGGTGATTCTGATGAGGTCTCAGAAAGAAAAGAGGAGAGCTGTAGAGAAACCCCAATCTTCTTAGAGAATACCTAAGTAATCCTGAACAGAATGTTGGTAGGAATATGGACAGTAAGGCCATTCTTTTTTTTTTTTTCTTCTTTTTTGAGACAGAGTCTCACTGTGCTGCCCAGGCTGGAGTGCAGTGGTGTGAGCCTACTGCAACCTCCACTTCCCAGGTTCAAGCGATTCTCCTGCCTCAGCCTCCCAAGTAGTTGGGACTACAGGTACATGCCATCACACCTGGCTAATTTTTGCATTTTTAGTAAAGACAGGGTTTCACCATGTTGACCAGGCTGGTCTAGAACACCTGGCCTCAAGTGATCCACCCACCTTGACCTCCCAAAGTGCTGGGATTACAGGCAGTCAGGCCATTCTGATGGAGTCACAGACAGAAATGAAGAACATTTACTAAGAAGCTGGACAAAAGGCCATCCTTGTTAGGAAGCAGCAAAGAATTGGCTAAATTGTGTTCATGTTCTATCATTTTGTGGAAGTAAAAACTGCAAGCAATGAAACTTACAATGGGATGTTTGGCTTAGGAAATCTCTAAACCAAGTATTGAAGGAGTAACCTGGCTCCTTCCGACTGCTTCCAGTACAATTCAAGAGAGACATAAATGACATAAAGATAGAACTGTTAAGCAAAAAGGGGTAAGAGCTTAAAGTTCTGAAAAATGATCAGCCCATCCATATAGAAAAGAACAAGAACCCAGTTTGGAGAGAATACTAAAGGTGCTGCCAAGCTCTTGGACTGTCCCAAGTCTCCAAAAGTATGAGAAAAGATTTGTTTTTCAGAGGACACTCAGACTATGGTATTTTAACAGCCCGAATCAACTAGCACATAGCTCAATCGCACCTGTGAACAGTGACGAAGAGCCCCTGAACTGTTGCTGTAGTATGTAACATAACCAATTTGGTTTTATCCCAGGAATGAAAGAAAGAAACAGACTGGGCATAGTGACTCACACCTGTAATCCCAACATTCTGGAGGCCAAGATGAGAGGAGCACTTGAAGCCCAGGAGTTTGAGACCAGCCAAGGCTACATGGCAAGACCCTGCCTCTACAAAAAATAAAAAACTGAATTAGCTGGGTGTGGTGGCTCATACCTGTAGTCCC